AACAGTATTGAGAAAATTTAAGGTTTGTCACATTAGATTCTCCTAAAAATGTCCAGCATAAGCCCGACTGGAATTCTCGACTATACTATTAGCAGAAAAAGACGGCTAGCTAAGATCTCAGGAAGCAAGGAAAGGTAACCGTAAGACGAAGGGAACGGCATGTATGAAAAAGACTCAAGTTTGCTTATGGGAAGTCAGACACCATTAAGTTAGCTACTATATGCATCCTTTATGGCATGTCATCTGTCACGAAGACTAGCGTTTATCAATTATTCGTCGCTTTGAGTTGCAAGCATGAGAACGGGCAGGCGGAAAACAAATAAGACAGGAATGGAAGATAATTCGGTTAGAAGAAACCCTAGAGTGAAAAAAAAACAGACTTAGTCTCAAACGACAAGGTCCATACGCACTGCAACGAAGGCGCGGGAGGATTCCAGATTGGCTAAGAACAACGGCTCGAGCGCTTAGGTAACGTCATTTTTTGCAAGTCTTATGAACTCAACACTGCCATCTTAAGCTCAACGCTTTCGTCCCAATGGAGGTAGCGAAGAGGCCAACACACATCCTTGATTGATGAGCCTATCGTGACATGGAGGTAGTTTTTAGACCTGCTATATTAGGACTCGACCAATGGGAGAGAGCGGTTTTTGACCATTTAATCTGCTAACATTGACCACGGCATGTGAGGTGGCAAAACACAGAACATCGCTGATCATGACTAGGTCAGGAAGTAGTTCGGCCGTATCGAGAAGTGCACGTAAGCGAAGAGTTAAGCGCTGACACAACAAGCGAGAGGAACTCACTGGCAAGGCTGATGCCATGTTGGAAGGCTTCGTGAAGAGTCCTCAAGTTTCCCATCAGTGTATCCAGCAGCGGTCCGTTCTTAATGTACGGAGAACCTCGAACACCAGTCTACGATACAGTGGAATGGGAACGGAAAGGTAATAAGCGAACAGATCAATTGCAATTAACATCGCTCACAAATTAGACTCAAATTCTCACTTCAAAGTACTAAATAATAGAGGGAAATAGCACTTATATAAACAAAGAGGCATAATAAAAGCTAAAAATTGTGAAGGCACAATTTCACGACGTGGTTCACTAAAAGGAGGTGATTCACCTTTTCGTCCAGTACATAGCTCTGATTGAGCAGACTCTTATCCAACATCCGCTTCTTGTCATTCGGAAAGGCCATGTCGCGGAAAACCAAAGTCACGTACAAAACACCAGCTGACACAGCAAATGCACAAAGTCCACCAAGGGCGTAAGCTATAAGGGAAAGGCAGAAAACGCAGCGTGAGAGGGATGCAAGAGGCCACACCTACATTGACGCAGAAAAATAGGATGTAACGCTTAGGTCGCTGGCTGTTGCTAAATTATTGACCTACCCATATTTCTTTACGTAGCATATGTGTTAAGGGACGAAATCTATACTATCCTCACTTCCGCCAAGAATAAACAACAGGATACTTTTACGTACACACAGGAAGGCAGGAAATGTCAACTTCGTGGACGTACAAATGGTAAATGACGACGTCTATCTTTTAGTAGTAATAATTCCACAAAACACACTATCACCACATCCGCATATGTGAGACCCTTTTCCGGATAAATATGCTGATTCGTACCCTGAATTACTACACACAGCGGCGATACTTGCTCGAAAATCCATTAAAGGAATAACGAATATTTGTTCATAGTTATAAGAATTCTTCCCAAAGAATATGTGCTACAAAGTCACTGCAGTCTAGACAATTCCGGACGCGAAGTCTTAAAAATAAAGAGGAGAGAAGAGAAGGATTCTAGAATTGGATTCAAGGCCGAACAAGCGGTAGGTAGGGGTTTATAGAACTGTTTTCAACATATTATTTTTCCGCACTGTCACCGACAAAAAAAGAGTATCGCGTGCAACTAATTGCACTGATGCGAAAACACTTAAGAGAACGAATGTAATTATGCCTTCGCACAACAACGGATCTTTAAGACAAGGGTGCAACCTGATCGAAATTTCAAATGCTAAAGGCGGGAGGAATAAATATTCCGGTTTTGGCTACTAACATATTTCTGCATGCGTGGAAGAAACAGATAAAAATAAGAGGAATTATATACAGCACAGAAATCAGGAAATCAAGAGAGATGTTACTTGGGGACAGAAATGTCTGTAATTATAAGGGTTGCTCATACGTGAACACCAGAAAAACAGCTCTACGGCAAGACAGAAGATAACTGTAAACACTAAGTAGAAGACAAAAAATGTAGTCCGGTAGAAAAGATACATGAAACGTACAAAAGAGGACGTCAAGAGCCATTACAATGCAATGTGACCTAAAACCG